GTCAGATGTACCTCCTATGAAACAAGTCTACAATCCTTTTGCGATAGAGAGACCACACGCCACCCCGTCGATGCTCGAAAGACAAGGTTCCTTCCGGGGTTTCACTCAATTGAACCAAGCATCACCGTTCAAAAGGCAGCTTAGTTTACGGATTAACGATCTTCCTAGCAATCTTGAACGCACACGTAGCCATAGCCTTGAGCCGACGGATTTGTCACGGATGCCATCTGCCATGTCTCACATCGTACCTCTGAAGCCACCAGGTAAAAATCCTTATTACGATAGAATCATCGATAGAAATATGATCATGCGGATATGTATTATAATTTTAATTTCTATAAGATCGTATATTGATGTTAAACGTATATCGTATATATATAATTACATATAATGTGTGGATATAAACTGCTCAAGATGAAATTTAAAAGTTTGATAAAAATTATGATAAACTTAAAACTGAAGGCTTCAATATAGCATTGTAACTACTATTTTATTGTTACTATTTTATTGTTGCGCAGTTGGCATGAATTATATCTTTTATATTGTTAGTAACATTACAAAATAGATTGGTGAAAGATTGATTTCATAATATCTATTTTTGTAAAATTCTTTTTTCAAATGCAATGATTAGGAGAAAGAAAATATGCGATTACATATTTTCTCAAATAGAATTTCTGTGAAACGATTTTTTTAAATTCTTCGAGTGCAAATATATTAAATCAAATTTATATACGAGGAATAAATTACTGATATTGACAATATTTATCGATATTCAATATTTATATATTTAATCGTTAAACGTTTATTTGTATTCTGAATCGTAATATCAATTTTTATTTTTTCATTTCAATTGCAATTATATTTTGAAGTCTTCAGCAGTAATCGTATGAAAATATTCCGACAAATATTGCTTTCTTCCATGTGCTGCGTATATTAAAATATTGAAACATCGAATAATATAATTCTTCATTTTTGCAAATAGAATTCGAAGGATATGACGAAGGTCATTATTCCCTATTCTGTTAATTGTCCATATTGCCTGACCCTTCTCTTTGATGTTTTTGGATGGTGCTCGTTTTCCTCCGTTGTGTTTAAATTATACCATTGTATACGATATGTTGTTCGTTTAAATATATAGTTCGACGAAGTTGAACGAGTAGAGGAAGTGGAAAAAAAAAAAATAATATATATATAACGTTCTACACGACCCTGTAGTACTCTTATTAAATGTTCTCGTTTTATGAAATATTTTTCTCGCTTCAAATTTTATTTTCTAAAATTGTAGTTTTGTTGAACGCATAAAAGAAACTGAATTTCTTGAATTTACAGACTTATATTATTTCACGAAATAGCTAAATCATTTTTTTTTTCTTTTTCTTTTAAGCTTTTTCTTCCCAAACGAATTTTTATCGACAAATTATGCAATAACAATTATCACGTCGTCAAAAAATTGTTACATTGTCCTAAAAAATGTTTCTTTTCTACTTAATATTTAAATTCTTAAATAATTTTGTGAAATAATATAAATCTATTATTTTCGGAAATATTGTTTTTTTAACATCTTGTATCCCGCTGTTAGACACTTAACACGTATTCACGTGTTTGCGGCATGCGTTCCGTAGTTCCAAGCACTGATTCGAAGCACCAAATTATAGCGTTAGAAGTGTTCAACGTCTAAAATGAATATTAAAATTCTGTTCTTTTTTTTTACAGTTAGTCCAATACCAGAAATATCACCCGGGGGTCAAGATAGCGTTTCAGCGATGTGTCAGCAGCTTTCACAAGGGCTTTCTCTTCTTTCAAGGACCGACGACTTCGGACCAATCTCTACGCAAAGCAGTACAAGCTCTGTGGCTAAACAGCTCTTCACCAGTACCACCGCTAATAATACTCCACCAGGTACATCATGAACACTACTCAAGTGGATAGAATTTTTTAATTCTAACACTTTTCTCAATATTACTGGATGATGAATTAACAAAATAACATTCTCACATTCTTAATACAATACTCTCTGATAGATTTCAATTTTCTTTAAAATGTACCTTATCATTTATTGCGATACAATTTTTATAAATGTTGTCTGTAATTATGTTATGAATAAATGCTAATGATTGACATTCATCGTTACAGTGACGAGTAGCAACTCGTTGGATGAATTGAAATTGCAAAACGGTCCAAGTTTGAACAACAACAACAATAACAACAACAACGACAAGAACGACGATCTCAGTAATCTGAATCACGTTGGACCCAGTTGGCAAGAAGCTCCGTCACCCGTTTTGGCTTCGAATCACAGGCTTACACCAATCTTGAATAAAACCAGCAATCTCAGTCCCATCCTTCCAAGAACGAACGCGCCTACACCGATAGTTATGAGCACCCCCGCACCCAACACCACTGTCAGTGTGTTTGGAACACCAGCCTCGGCCAGTCCAGCCTTCAGCACAGCGTCCACGTCCTCCTTAGGAAATGCGCCCACACCGGCTATGAACAGGTCGCCGATACCAGTGACTTCAGTGATGACTCCCAAGACCAGCTCACCGACCACCAGTATGGCATCCGTCTCACCGGCTCTATCTGGAAAGATTTCTAACGATGTTAGCCAAATTAACCAAACCCCAGTGGCAAATACTATCACCACACCAGCGGTAAGCAGAAGTGCTTACTCGTTTCAGATTCAATACAATATTATTGAGGCGCACTGATTGACCGTTATTAATTACATACATATATATATATATTTCATTTAGAGAAATCTGTTAATCTTCAATTATTCTCTAAGATTATTCTCTAAGTTTTTTTATAAATTCAAAATTAATCTTAATTAGAATTTTTTCATTTTTGTCTTGAACCCTTACAGAGCTAAAAAATTAACATCAAAGATGAAACATCAGAGGAAGAAAGGAAGCATATCTTCTTATATTAGATCTTGTATCAAAGCAAATATAATCTGCCTTCTTACTTCTCAACTTTGCAAAGTACAACGAACAATCAGGCAATATGATCAATGTGTAAGAACAAATATTACAATATTCTGTTAATTCTCGTTTCAGGTCCAATCAGTTTCAACAACAGCCGCATTGCCAAAGCCGGAGCAATGGTTGGGCAGTATAACCAGCTCGGTACCACCTTCAGTGCAATCTCCTTCGCAAGGACAAATAAGTCCTCGACGAGCACCACCTCTTCACGCGAGGGCGCTCTCCCTCGGTTCAGCCGCCATGAATCAGGGGAGCAGAACCGGCCCTTCGGATCCATTCGACGCGGAATGGGCGGAAATAGCGGCGAGGAATCTGCGACAATCGAGCACCACAAACCCGTTCATAATGCCAAACGCGACCCAAGCATTCCAGGTGCAATTGTAGCGCCAGGAGTTTGTCAATAGCGTGGCCAAGTACTTCCGTTCGAACACATAGTGACGACTCCACGTCCGTTCGCGCTTCGACCTCTCGAATAACCGGAAGTATTACACGTGAACCGCGTTAATCTTGATGGAATCGCGTGGTTTCGAACGAATAATTCTCCACTGAGGAGATTCCGAATGATTGGTCACGGTAAAGAGCCATGTGATGAAAAGGGACCTCCAGGAAAAGCGAGGGACGGAGGTATCGATCTCGAAGAGATGTGTTTAGTAGCAATGATTGATATAGAAGTAAATCAGCACAAAACACGTACCCGTTGTTTCTAGATATTAGTAGATTACGCACACACAGCCTCAATAACCTCGAATTGGGATACGAGAAGAGTGAGAGGAAGTATGAAATTTGAAATAAAGAAGAAAAAAAAAAAAAAAAAAGAAAAATGCTTTCTTGGGACCACGCGTTCAATCGCGTTGGTGAACGTGGATTATTTAATTAAGTGACCCACACGGTCGATCGATCGGCCAAGCCGCACGATTTACTTTAGATGTCGTCGCACTTTATCTGCGGAGAAAATTAGATAACGTCGTTGATATCGATAACATACCTAAATGTCTATCGTGAGATTACTTAATTAAACGAGGTGTACAATAATCTTGAGTAGTTTAGGCTAAAAAACGATTACCGTTCATTCTGCATGATGAACAAAATTTCCACGCACCCAAGATTATGCTGCACCAATCAGATGTTTCGTCGAAAATAATAAGAAAAAAAAAAAAGAAGAGAAAAATACAAAAAAATAAGATACGAGAAATAATATGAAAATAACGATGCTAGTAGCTTAGTTCGAATGCAAATCCACGTGATAAACGTGGCTCGATAAAAACAATTATTATTATCTACAGATAGTTATTTTTCTTTTCAAACGGCCAACAACCGAAAAATGTGTAAATGAGAAATTCTGTCGTATTTACCCGGCTCGAAATATTAAGAATTGTCAAGTTTTATTAACGAGCAAGAGAAAACTTGGATAACAAAATAAAGACAGAAATTAAAAAAGAAAAAAATCATGATCGAATAAATTGATTGATACATTGGATTGATACTGGCGCAATTGAACACCAAAATAACGGACTGTGATACATATAGAAAAATGGCCAGTACTTAAATGCAAAGAATCAGACTGTCATAAATTTTGCTCAAAAGTTTCTTCATCTGAAATGAGAGAAAAAACGATTACGAGCTTGGGTAGCGCAGAGTCTATTGTTCCCTGGCCAACAGAATTAATCACACAAATCCTAAACACACGCGTATACAACTTAGGATACTTAAGAGCAAAAATTAGATGTTAAAAAAGTTTTTAGAATCAGTACGTTCCACGCTATTGTTGTCTAATATCGTACATACGAGCGGGTTAAGCATTCATTGTAAAAGATTGTTTTGAAATTTGAGAAAATGTATTGAGGTGTGTTAGGTGTAGATGAACGATACGACATTGTGGTTTTGCAGCAGTGGTGTTGTGTTGTTCGATAGCTTTATATATTTAAATAGCGTTGTATAGTCAAATACATTGCGCTATTTAGATTTGATGTGATTCGATACTTTTATATGTCCAATGTCAGAATCCTATTATTGTAATTTTATTGAATTATTGGAATATGTAAATCTGTCGAATTGCATAATGATATTAGTGCAACATTATAAAGATATTGAATCGTATATTGTCACCGCTGAAAAATCGTAAAACGTATTATACATTTACATCAAGCATTACAAATATTGTCTGCAGATTTGCCTGCACATAGATTTTTAAATACCTGCAGAAAAATATAGCACGAAATATTATAATAGTATACGATATATGATATAACAATTTATGTAATACTAGTGGAAGAGATATATATAGATTAAATAAGTCATACAATCATAATTTAAATTGTTTTGACTTTCAAAATATATAAATTATGAATTTGGTGAATTTATATTCATCTCATTATATCTCTTTCACTAATTTCATAATTATTTGTAAATAATTTATGCGAACTATTTGCAGACAGTGTTTGTAAATCTATGCCTTTAGATGAAAAATGGCTCGCGCACACGTAATAGGGTACATAAAGGTGCTTCCGCTTGAAATAAGACCAAAAAAGAACACACACAAAAAAAATATAAAAGAATAAAAGATAAAACGAAGATTGTTTCACGAGCCAACAGGAGAGCAACGATATATGGTATCGCGTTCCGACGTGAACCTATAGTACTATAGATTGTTATGCGAGTTATGTCAATTGTTGAATGATTATGGAGATTTGTGAATATTCTCCACATCCTATATATTGATAAACATGGAGTTAATGTTGCATCTTAAAGCTTCTTTCACTTTTAGTCAATGAATAAGCTTTTAATTTCTTGAATTGATGATTTTATAGCAACCCCTTGCTATAATATACATATATATATCTTCTTATTTTAAAAAATATTTTCGATTGATAATGACTCTTACAGAGAAAAATTAAAGAAGAGATTTTCTTCATCTACATTACAAGATAATTGTTCTAAATCTATAATTTATTCTTCTAAATGTCCATATATATATATATACATACATATTCCAAAAGTTAAAGTTCATGTAAATGCCAAATATAATAAATTCTTTTCAACCGGAAAGATCCAAAAACACGATATGAAAAAAAACTGTACACCATATGTCATATCATATGGCAAGGGGTTGCCATCGAACAGGGGTAAAAGAGGTGGGGGCAATAGATAGAATGACTTCGTCGTCATTGATGGAGAAGAGGGTACGTGTTCGATCGTCATTTCGACGAATCGTATGTGTGCATTGTACATAAATAGTAGTTATTTAAAAAAAAAAAAGGAATAGAGAGAAAGTAAAATCGGACTGGCGAAGAGAGAAAAAGAAAAAGAGAGTGAATGAGAGAATGAGTGTACGAATGAGAAAAGAAAGTTCATCGAGTCGATGATAATTCTAATTCAAGCAAAAATAATATTCTTCATTGTCGAAGTTTCATTCAGTTTAAATTATAAGTTATTCTTGTAAATATAGTTTGGTAGCGTTTCTTAGCACAAATCGCGTTGCTTATACAATTTTAGGACTTTTGTATCCGGTGACAATAGTATAATCTGTTTGAAATTAATTATCCATTGAATATAATTGAATATTATCTTTCTCTTTTATAATCTTTAGCTTCGACTTGATTTTCAGATATGTTATAAAAATCTTTCGTGAGTGGGTCCAACTCGGTGCTGTCCTAGTTAATTTTTTTTCCACTTTCACTTTATCATCGGAAATATGTAAATATACCACGTTTCTCAAATAACCTTCGACATATAACAAATAATTCTTTTCGTTAATCTCGAAAGATCGATTGATTCTAAACAGACTATACCGTGCCACCTAAAGATGGAACACGTAATCGATACTCGTTACAGGAGAATTCTAAGCCCGATATCGTTCTCGATCGTTTGGCATGATTGAGTTGATCTTTCGAATCATCTTCTGTCCGTCCGGTAAATCAAAAACAACAAAAGCGAAAGAAACGAACATCGACATACCGAAGAGAAAATAATGGATAGAACCAGAGAAAACAAAAAAAAATAAATAAATGAAATAATTGTCGAGATAGCACAAGCACGATCACGAGGTACATATCACGGAATTTGTATAGAAGAAAAACGTGTGATAGAGAAAACGAACATTGATTGATCGATGTACTTAAATGTGTATTAATAGAAACGCAGCTTGTTTCTTCGTTTCAATTTTCTTTTTTCTCTCTTTCCATTTAGAAGCAAACGTAAAGAACCGATGTCATGGACATCGTAAATCTTCATTTACATTGAAGTAACTTGATTTTTCAGGTTAGTTCGGAGAATTGTATATACAACGATGATTATATATAGTATATATATATATAATATTGCCTTAAGTACTTATTATTTTCTTTCTTTTATTTTTTTTTATTTTTTACTATTTTTTTTTTTTTCGTATCGTACTTACGTATAATTTGCGTATGTAAGTTAACTATTCATTTAAATTTATTTGGCTAGGATCTAAAGGATTTAAATTAAAATAGAAATAGTCTTGACTGGTTTCTGTTTCTAACCTTAAACATTTTCGATCTATTGCAAAACTGATCTGTTTACTCTCTCGATAGTTTATCGAATATGTTTATTTTGGAAAATTTATTATAAAAAACGGAAAGAGCAGGCATCAGTTGAGACATGTTCCAGTGTCTTATTTCACTGAAAGAGATTATAGTGTATTTAAGATTGTTTAATTTGTTACGTGAGCACATAAAGACACTGGAATAAGGGAAAAGGGATAAAAATACAAAAATGGAAATAATATACGAGCAGATGCACCGCGTGCCAAATTTGAGAAAAGTGCAACCGCATTATCTGCGAATTATTTCGACATCGTGCACGCTTCCGTGGTTGTGTTGTACATAGTATCGCTGATCGATTCCTGAATCAATGTACGACTGCGTGTATATTTCGTGAAAGTATCCTTGTTCGTTTTACAATGTATCTGCCTCTGTAAAGATACGATTTATTATAATATCTGTTGTGATTACCAAATTGACTTCTATTATTGACTTCTATTTTTACCTACTACACACATATAAATTGGATGACATAAATGTGAAAAATATATTTTTTTTGTCTTTTTAAAAGAATCAAAAAAACTAATTTTATCAAAGAAATCAATTCTATTTAGTTTTATCAATTTTACTTAGATCTATTCTGTAATTAAATAATGAACAAAATACGTATGTGTATATTACAATATTTTTCAGTGCGTTCATATTTTAATTATTTTTGAGTTGCATTAATTATAATCAATGTTCCTATAATAATTATAATCAATGTAATAAATTGTTATAAAGTTATATATATATATAGATAAAATATTATTAGTTAGAAATTTTGTATATGGTCAAATCACTTTATATAAATATAAATATTTAAATTATATTTCCTTTATTTTAAAATTCTAGAATAAATCATTTGATAATAATATACGTTCATACTTTATAGTATACTTAATAGTATAGTATCATATTTTAATTTATTATATATAATTTAAATGAGCCTTTTAATTATTATGAAAATTAATTATATATCGATTATTTTTTTTTTGTGAAAAAGTTCACATACCAAAAATATATTCAATTTGGATCAAAATTAACCTCAAAATTTTTAATTCATAAATTTCAATAATTTCCATTTCCCAATTCAATTTATTTTTTTAAATTTACCATTTTTCTTAAGATACTGATATTTATTATTTGAGTAATAGAAAAGTCGAATTTTATATAAAATGACAACTCTAAAAGAAGCATTAGAAAGATATCCACCCAGTTTAGCTACAACTTGTAAATCAAAAAAAAATAATATTTCAACACAACCGCCTTGTCCAAATATTCAACCACCTATTACCGGTACTTCTGCAGTTCGCTTTCAAATTGCATATACTTGTTACGGGTATGTTAATGTTTATAAACATAATATTTAAATATTATTTAAATATATCGAAAAAATGTAAAAAATATAGGATGATTTTATTAATATTTTTTAGTGTTAAATATTTACCCTGTTATTATCCACGGCCAATATGCTGTCCAATACCAGTGATACCACCACCAAAAGTAAAATGTTATGGAAGATTAGTCGATTATTGTGGAAGACCTATTTGTCTATATTTCTGATAATATCCTAAATTGTTTTTCTACATATTCGCAGTGACTCTGTATAGTTAACAAAGAATATTTATTAACATGTATATAATTTATATCGTTAATTTATTTTTATTTATTATGTAATATATAAGATTTTTCATCTAAATTGAAAAATTAAAAGAATATTTTACTTAAAAAAATAATTATATATATAAAAATTTCAATTGTATTTTATTTATCTATTATTATTTACACAAATTAAATATAGAATATATTTTTTATATTTTTTATAGTATATTTTTATGCATGTAATATCCTGTTTTATATGTTTTAGATGTTATATAGATTATGAAATACTGAGGATAGACTTAATATTTAATAAAACTTTTTATCTCGTTTTAGAATAGACATATAATATAACAATAAAAAATAAAAATTGAATTGAGCTCTGTTAAAATTTTTAATCAATATATTAGAAAATAAGATTAATCAAATATCAGCAATTTTCTTAAATGTATAAATTTTCTAATTTATAGAATAAATATAAACAAGGAAAGCTAGTAATGGAAGAAAGATACAGATAGAGTAAAAATTCAGAAATCAGCGCCATCTCCAGAATGCCGCAAATGAAAATAAATGAACAAGGATATCAAGCATTGAGAAAGATAGAGATAGAATAAGAATTGATTGTTAGCGCCATCTCTCGAATGCTAAAAACATTTCTTTAAAAACAGGATAAGATAGAATAAGAATTGAAGATCAGCGCTATTTTTTGAATTCAACTTTAATTTTTAAAGAGTTATCTTTGGTACTTGTAAGATGACACTAACGATCAATTCTTATTTATCTTTCTTTTTCTAATATTTGCTATCCTTATCAATATTTATGTTTCATTTACGCCACTCTAAAGATGGCGCTGATTCCACAATTTTTATCCTATCTCTATCCTTTGTGAACTATTATTTGCTTTCCTTATCTGTATTTTCTCTTATGTAACACGTAATCATAGATAAGGTACAAATTAAACACGCTTTATTTCCCTTTCAAATTTACAATATTTTTTAATTTTTTGAATTAAAAATTTTTAATTTAATTAATTTTTAAATATGTATAGATTTTTATAAAAAATAATTCAATACTCTAATAATTCAATATTTAATAAATATCAAAATATCAAAGAATTGTATAATTGTGAAATATATTACGTGAATATATTCACTTCAAAATAAAAAAAAAAAAAAAAAAGAAAAGAAATCGATTCAAAGTGAATTTATTTGCAATATGCACAAATATCTTTAGATCAAATTCTTTCAAAATTTTTAATACGAATAATTATATACTTGAAATATAAACCTGAAATATTCTAAATTGCACAAAATTGCTACTTTTGATTAAATTAATTATATGATATTTAAAAATATCGTAATATATATTACTGGGATTAATTCTGTTAAAAATAAATTCACTAAATAAAAATGTCTTCTTATGAAAGCACGAAGCGTAACAGCACTGTACCTCCACGATGTTACCATTGCAAACCTCCACCATTTTATTGCCCGGAATATGGTTGTCCACCCCCGCAACAATATCCTCTGAAATATTGTTGTCCTCCTCCATGTCCACCCTTCGTATGTTTTATATATAATATAAATTAAAATTATATTCTATAATATATTATTTCCAAAAATATATTTCACAATAAAATCCTATTTTATTTTATTATTTTATTTCTAGATATGTAGACCACGTCCAGAACCTCCACCGAAACCACCAACCCTGTACATAGTAAATTGTTTACCACCTCCTGATCCACCGGCTCCTAAATGTATATCACCAAAATTAATTCCACCACCATCATGTGTGCGTTATTGTATCACTGATATATGTGGAAAATCGTACTATTGTCCTCGCTACTTTTCTGATCCTCAGTGTATAAAATGTTGTTGACTACTGAGAAGACTAAAAATTATATTCTATTTTGTACTTTTAATTATTACTATATATAAATTATGAAAAAAAATTGGGATTATTATAATGATCTTTGATGTTGTATAAAATACAATGGGATTAAAAGTGATTAACAAAGATAATTGTTTATAAAAATTTATTTATTTTTTTAAATTACATTCTTTGTTATAAATTTTCAAACGAATTTAATTAATATGTAATACTAAAAATGAAAGATGCAAATGATAATATTTTATAACCAAACTTGCGTTAAATGTCAGTCATAAGAAACAGTAACAAAACAAGTATCACTTTTAAAGAAATTCGTTCATATATAACTTAAAGGCATAGAAAGCATATACATATACGGAATAAAATGTTAGAAAATCCGGAAATAATCGGTGAAAGAGGAGAAGAAGAGGTAAATCCTTTAGGAGTAAGTAATTCTAAATAATAGATTATTATTTAGATTAATTTTCATAATATCTTTTTTAGAATTACGTTTATTCGTTTATTAATCGTTCAAATTAAATTGTCACTTTAATGTAAAATTTGGTGAACTAAAGGCTAAAAACTTTTTTTTACTTTGAGAAAAATGGAATGAATAAAATAAAATATGATATAATTATAGTTATATGAAGGTGAACGAAATGAAAAAGGGGACAGACACGGCCGTGGCAAAGCTTTGCTTCCAAATGGCGATATGTATGTCGGTCAATATTGCAAAGGATTGAGACACGCTCGAGGCTTGTACGTGTTTAAAAACGGCGCTCGATACGATGGCGAATGGCGGCAAGGTGTAAAATACGGCCAAGGAACATTTTGGTATCCTGATGGAACGCGATACGAGGGTAAAAAAATGTTAATTGAACCATATGTTTACTTTTATCATTATATTACATTGTTCTTTTTTAGAATAAGTATATAAAAATCAAATTTCAGAAAAATTTCATTTTCATTTACTTATCTGTTACAAGTATCATTTTTTAAGAATTTTGTATCGTCTTCCGATATTTTTTTTACTTTTAGATTCAGAATGTCTAATATATCAACTTTATGCTTGGAACATCTCGTTTGTTTTTCGTAATATTAAAAACTGCTATAAATAAAAGTTGAATGATTTCTGCATTCTGACATGTATGCATTATTAATTTTTTTTATAAGTGAACGTACAGAGGACTTGTGAAGATCAACTTTGTCCTTTTAAAATAAAATCATCTAATACACAAATCGATGTATCTCTAAAAAAAAAAAATATTACATCATATAAAAATTATTAGTTCAAGAGATAATTAGATATCTCTCAAAGTTTTTTTTTTATTTATAAAACAATGTATCATTATATGCATTAAAAAAAATGTGCGATTCGAAAAGCTTATAATTTCCTTTTTTCACTTTTCACTATTATAGAGTTGAAACTTGAAACTCTATAATGTATAAATCGTTTTGAAAATAAACATTACAAATTATAAAATACAAAAAGAAAAAAGGAAATGTTTGATGCGCTGTGTGCAGATTAGCTCGTGTTCCGCAGGCGAATGGAAACGCGATACGAAATATGGTTTTGGCGTGTATTACTACATAAATGGGGATGTTTACGAAGGATCTTGGAAGAAGAACCTTCGACACGGTATGGGATCTTATCTTTACGCCAGCACGAATACAAAATTTATGGGTACGTGGATTAAGGATCGCATGCAAGGTCCTGGACAGTTAATTCATCCCCGACACCGATTCCACGGATTTTGGGAACTCAATTTGGTAAGGAATTTTTGCGATATTATTATTAATAAACATTATTGTTTAAGAAATTATTGAGAAAATATATAATCGTAGCCTTATGGGCGAGGATGCTTTACTTTCGAAAATGCTTGCATGCAGCATGGACACTATGTGCACGTGAAAGATCCTGATTACGACGAAACAAAGGAACTTGCCGAGGTGATAAAATTAATATATCTGATAGAATAATTTTATTATTTATTACACGGTTAAGAAAATCAAATTTAAG